TTTATTCGTCCTCTTTAAGGCTTATAAGAATAAAGGGCCTAATTAATTACAATTAAAATGATACTATATATAATTATATAAGAAGCAAACACGAACTGACTGGAAACGAATAGATAAATAGATCAAAAAAGGACCAATAGTTTTGTATTGAGGTATCACTCCAGAAACAAATGAATTTACAGATCAGTTTTGAGATATTTCATTTCCCGCAGGTAGTAACCAGAAAATATCCGCCAGGTCCGTCCTTGCTATAGCTAGCGCTGTAAAACTGCTTGCGCGTCGATCATGCACGGAATAAATCTTTCGTTCTGGCTCATCATCAGACGCACGATTGCCGATTGAAGATAAAATGAACATTATAATATATGTAGTTGTATAATACTATTGAGCTCGACAAATGCAGCCTGATCTCAAATCGAATGAACGAAAAATCACTGGGAAACGGAGATATTTATGGCATCTTTTTTTACTTTCCGGTTTTGAAGACTTGACTATTTCGTTTGGTATTTTTATGAAAAGGCATTGCACAACGAACTATGACCGCGAGCAGAGTTTCACTAATTGAGACTATTTTCCAGCTAATGTTTTTGTGCTTGTGTGACGTAGCAACGGTAACTAAGGGGAGTCGAAAGCCATGGGTGTACGTGTACAATGACGAAATTTGTTTTGGTTGATTGTTATTTAAATGTTGTCAACCAAAAACCTATTGGACGATCCAACAAAGCAAAGGGACAAATCCTGTTGTTAAAATGGACGTAGGCAGAGAATCACAATAGCAATGTTTATATACACCAAATTGAAAAATCTTAAATGTATTCTTTTCTCCTGTTACGGATCACTTACCATTATGCACAAAGGCTCGCATTAAAACCTTTGTGTGTGACAAGCGAAGCATACTTCGGAAGCCGGCTATAAACATACTACATACTCCGAAAATCATCTCGACAACCACAAATCGAGATTCTTTCTGGCATATAGCACACAGGAATCCCAATTGTAAAGCTTAGTCTTACTGCTCGCCTGATGGATCGCAGCAAATATCATGCTTATAGCGTGTTTTACTATGGGTTTTAAGAAATGCTTACCCTTGCAGTAGCTTGCCGTTTGTTTGTGTCCATATAACTTTAAGCTGATCTACTGCCTTGACGTTATGTTTTCCTAACTTCCCCTTTTCTTCCAAGTTCATTTTCGCATCATCTATGTTCTTTTCTGTCAAGGATGGATGAGAAGTATCGTTCCCTCTCTTTTTTACAGATTTTAGCTGTATTAACAAATATTCGTCCCATTTGATTTCTTTCTTTAACTTTTTCCATCTTGACCTTGCTTCATTTTGTTCTTTTTTGCCTTCAATTTGCGATGAAATGTATTCTTCCATATACCGAGTCCTTTTGTTCTGAATTTCGTTGAAATTTTCTCGCAGCACAATCCTCGAGAGATTTTCCTGAACGCTTGAGCAGAGTTGCCGAATAACCAACTCATCTTCAGATAGCTCAAACTTCTTTATTTTTTCATGTAAGTCTCCAAACTTTGTCTTCAACTCTCCGATTTCCGTCTTGGCTTCATTGACTTCCTCTTCAAGGAATGTGTTGCTCTCTTCTAAGTCTCTCATTTTCATTTTCATCTCCATCTTTTCTATTTCTTCAACAAGTCTTTTTATTTCTTCTTTAAGCCTTCGTATTTCTTCTTCCAGATCATGGATTTTCGTTTGGCAATTCTCATCATGGTCTTTCAGTTTTTCTTCTAATTTTCTCACCTTTTCTTCTAATTCAGTTTTTATTCTTTCCAGTTTCTTGACATCGTCTTTCAGCCTTCCTACGTAACCAGTCTTACCTTTCTCGGCCATGACTGAAGCTGCCCTAAAAATAAGTGTTTAAAGTCAAAAATTAAAAGTACCTTGGAATTTTCTAAAAAAAATTATGGATATGGAAAAAAACACGTTTGCATACAGAGAGTATGTGGTCATTAAGTGAAAGGACTTCAAAAATTACACCAATGTTACGAGCAGTTGGTGAAGGGGAAATGCGAGAGTCCGAAATGTAAACTTCCAGCTGGGCGAGGAAGGTGCATGTGAGGATTAGAACAAACAAGAATGTTTGTTGTATAGTTGTTTCATTTGTAAAAAGAATCCTTCTACAAATGACCCTCGTGAGACGTGAGACAAACGGATAAGTATTATTTATTAATAATTATGGTGTTAGCTGGAATAAGGAGTAAATATAGCTGGAATAAATATGTGAGGTGAAAGTTTTCATTAATTGCAACGCAAGTCGTATTCAGTTTTAAATAAATGGTATAGTAGTTTTACACATGATGTTCCTTCGAGTAGTTTCACAAATTGGCTATTTTTGGGCTTTTGATGCAGGGGCGGATCCAGGGGGAGTGATGCAGGGGGTGCGCACCCCTCCCTGGTTCCACTTTTTGCTCCTACTTTAAAGATAACCAATACTGTTTTTCCCTTTGATTCTAAGGGGTGCACCCCTCAGAGGGTTAACATTGTAGGCAGCACCCCTACCCGAACAAAGTATGTTTATATTTATATTGTTCATAGTTATTATTGTTTATTGATCATAGTTTATAGTTTTTATTATTGTTAGTTTTATAATAGTATTATTATTAACTTATTCAGTCTTAATATTTTCCAAACCAATACGTTTTGCAGCGCAGTATTTATAATAAAGGCCGTAGACAGTATTCACATGACGTCATCAGAAAGCTAAAATCAAAACTATTATTAATATTGACAATGATGAATATGTATTGTCGATTAGGTAGCAATGTACAGTAAATGATAACGTAGACCGAACATTATACATTAGTTGGATAGATAATGGAAACGTTGTGAGTGAAGGCAACGTACGAAACATGAGCTCATGCGTCGCGGCGATGTGGTGGAGAATATATGTATCAAAATACGAAGGCTCTGGGATATTCGTTCGATAGTGTTCATCATCAGGGGTTAAGACACAAAGTAGAGGCGTCAGTATTCGAACTACACGTTTCAAAACTCCTATGCGCCAGAAGCTTAACTCTACGTTTAACGAAACGACTGGGAAACCGCCACGTTGACAAGTAGCATGCGTGAAAAATTAAATTTTAGTTAATTATTTTAAAATTGAATATAACTGCAACAGCAAGTGGAATTACTATTTACATGTAAAAAAGTGCACTTTCCGCACTTTCCGTATTTTCAGCCATTTCCGTTCCTCGTTTTACCCGTGAAAACCCCCGACGTGCCCCGGTATCCCCCCCCCCCCCCCCCAATGGGACCGGAGGTCTTCAAATGACTGGTACTTTACAGTTACACTAGGTGAACCTAATATCGCTTTCAATAGCCCACTTCCGAGATTTGCTCCGCTTGTCACGCACATAGGTTTCAGTATGAGGCTAAGTGTTAAATGCTCAGTCATTCGTGACAGGCGGTAAGAATAAATTTAATTTAGATAGAACGTAGTCTCATACTGAAATCTTTGTGCGTGACAAGCGAAGTATATCTCGTAAGTAGGCTATTCAATCTACACTCAAATAATGTGTGGATATTTTTTGGTCTACGATTCTTTAAAACTGAGCTAACTTTATTTTGGTTTCATACGTCTAGTCACGCAAATATGCTGAGTACCAGTTCTGTAATACAAACTGAATATGTTTTGCTACGAAACATTCCGATAACCTATACACTCAATTGAAGAATCATTGTCTGGTTCAGAAAGATAGAACATAAAAGCTGAGACCGAAATGGCACATGGGAAATGACATAATTATATTATAATTTATTCATTTACGCCATCCATACAGTCGATTTAGAATGCCAAACACGTATTAAAAACAGTGGATGATGCCACGGGTCGCCGGTCACAGCATGCATCTCATAAACCTACTTCTTGGTTATTCTAGGGGATTAGGATTAACTTATTAACCGACGCGTTCGCTTACGTAAGCGGTCACGAGGCAGGTATAGGATACAGTAGTTCGTTATGTACGATTGAACCGTTGGTCACAGCAATATTTTTAAAACTGAACAAATCGACCCAGCACATAGCAGTACAGATACGTAACAGTTTTAACAGTTTCTAACGTTTAAAAAACACCAATATAACAGAGTCTAACGGCTGAAAAAAACACCAATTTTTGCCCTAGCGCCCTTGGTTGAAGGAGACGTTTTTTTAATGCCTTCATATTTTCGAAATTGTGAACTGAATCATAACTACTTTGTTTTCCTTTCCATAAACCCAAAGACGTGCATTTGATGGATTGTTTCTCGCCGTTATTATCTTATTACTAGCGGGAACAATTAATTCAGAACGAATATGTAACCGCTTCAGTGATTTTTACCCATATTCCTTTCGGTCCAATCGCGTAGGTTTGACGTAGGTCGTAGGTCGAGGACAACGTTTCTTGAATTGAAACATACGAATCCTTGATCTTCCAGGGCCTGCAACGAAACCCCGTGTATTTGACTGAACGCCCCCTAATTATCATAAGCTTTCCTGTTGTTCATCACTGTCACGATCAACCAGTCAGAAATTAATCGGGAGTGTACAGAAAACACAAGATGTGGTCCGCCTCTTGAACTCGATCTTTACAGCCAAACTACCTAAAGCGTGAACAAGTAGAGGTCATGCTAGTCTCCTCCCTCGCAGCCGTTTTTAGTGTCGGTCGTCAAGCAACGCTCCCTCCCCACTAACTAGTGGGGAGGGAGCGTTGCGTGACGACCGACACTAAAACTAGTGGGGAGGGAGCGTTGCTTGACGACCGACACTAAAAACGGCTGCGAGGGAGACTACGGTCATGCATGACTTTATTTTTTGATTCTTGATTTCATTTTTCGATTCGAAGATTCATTAATGAAAACGAATCTTCAAAGCCTGGCATATACAAAAGCCAAGCATACATGCAACTGAAATGCAAAACAAATGATTGTTACTAGAGAGTACGTTACACTAATACGTTAAATTTGAATAAGCTGCTCTCAAGTTACATTACGTTAATCTCCTATCAAGTTACTGGTTAGAAAGAATTACCGGAAATTCAGCGTATCAGGGTCTTGTTTCAAATCTCGACAAAGAAAACCAAATAAAGCACTTTAAAAACTTTGTCGATTGTTTCGGAATAGAGTGCACGGTTGACTAAAACCGTGAACATTAAATAGTACTAATTACGACTATTTCATGCAGAATCCTTTGTTTTCTATTGTTTAATTTTCACTATTTAGTGCTAAAAATTAGTATTTGTTTCACGGATTTAGAGTCGTTTTCATATGACCGTGAAAGAATAGGCAAACTAATAGTTAGTAGTAAACTCTAAACCAATGATTTTCTTTTGTTCTTTATCAACTATTACAAACTAAATGGTCTATTTTCTTTCACGGTCATATGAAAATCACTCTAGTGTGAGCACTCTATTAAAGTATTTGAATATCCGTTCTAATAAATATCACTGAGTAGTCATACGGCTCCGCCACTTTCATGAGGTAATTAAATAACTGTACTTTAAAAGTAAATCGCCTTAATGACAAAATAATTAACTCTATAGCTCTTAACAACTAGGAAAAAAAAACAACAAATAAATAAATATATACAAATTAATTCAGTATAAAAGAACTAAGAAGGTGAAACATTATAAACTATAGTAATAGCATATAATATAAAAAATGTCCAGTCTATTTGTAAAACTCAACATATGCAACAATCACTAAAAACTTAAAATGGAAATATTAAACATTGTGCGCGGAACAGAAATGTTTAAAAAAAATAGAGTTTTAAAGTGATCAAAATTAGTACATGTTTTAATTTCTCTTGGTAAACATCTGTTCCACTGGCTGAGAATATTAATAAAGTTTGTGTCGTATTGTAAAAAGTATAACTTACCAGTTAGCTAATTTCCTTCGCAAGCGTCCTTAGAGTCGTCACGAAACGTTTCCTTCCCCACAAACGTCTGCTTGGGCATGTTATGCGAATACTCCTTTCCAATTGTTATCGATGCGACATCATGGGTCAATGAAAATTGGCCATTTGTCTTGTCAAGAGCCAATCAAATCCAATAGGGAATGGGGGTTCCAACGCAATCTCAAAACGGGTAAACCCCGTGTCAAGAATCCACCTACGGAAACAACCCATTCCAAGTGTAGTTGAGAGCAACAGCGCAACCACTTAATATGTTAGTCTGTATATGGAGTGTGAAGATTGTAAAGAGTTTGTTTATGACTTCTGTGTAAAGTGCTTGAAACCCAAGTTTGTACCTACTAAACCAAATAAGTATATTTGTTGTGGTAAAAAAATGCGAATAGAAGAAGATACTTCAGCACAGTGTTACGAGTGTGGTAAGAACATTCGAAACGCCGTACCAAATGCTCCCCAACAGCAGTGCTTTGTCGCGACCATTTACAGCACAAAATATTCGACAACAACTATATATTCTTCCCTTCGACTCACTATTCTTTAGCAATGTTTGTCCGACCTTTGCGGGGGGTCCAAAACTGACGTAATCTATTTTTAGAACGTCCGCGCATCGGCGGACGTGACGTCACTAAAATGTAACGTAATTCGAGGGTCGGACATTCGAACCGGATGTACTATACATTTACTATAATATTGTATGGCAAAACAAGATAGTTTATTGAAGAAAAAAGTAGTTATTTTGACCGAAAACGACGACGTTCCTGGCTCAAAATTTACCAGCTGCCCTGAAGATTATACGGTTGAGCAACTAAAGCGCTGGTTAAAGTGCAGAGGCCTAAAACAAAGTGGCAAACGTCAAGAGTTAAGTGGCACTCCCGCTAAGAGCGGTCCGGTGAATTTGGGTTCGCAAAATCGATTCTCTTTATTTTTTGTGAGTGAAAAGCCTTTGGTATACATAAACTGAAAATAAAGTTTTTTTTGAAATTATATTTTTGGGCTTCGTTACACGCCAAAACATATTTTGCCCGCTTGTGGTTATTTGGAGAGCTCACTCGATGGTTGCATTTGGGTAGAATTAAGATAGCTGCCGACTCAAAACTATTATGTATTTCCAAATTTTAGCTACACTGTCAACTTCAGATACTTTTCATCTACTCTTCAAAAAAGATTGAAAGTATTTGGTTAAAACATAAATTTATTGGACTGCCTAAAGCACATCCCTGTTTCGAGCTTTCATCGAGGCGCCAAAAATGCACTAAAAATATGATGTAAAATTTCGAAAAGGGGACCTTAAACTGAGCTAAATTATACTTGGCTTTCAAAATATACTCTTATTTTTACAGGATCAGAAGTGAAACCTGCGGGTATCGAGCTGGTTTTGTCGCGAGCGAAATTTATCGAAGTCCGTGATCGACAAAATTTGCATGATTTCTAACAAATTACCCTGTCGAATTAACATGCGCTTAAAATGATATACGGTAATTCTGGCTAGAAATGTGCCTTAAAATCAGATAACAAATGTCTGAGCTAGTGAAAAATGAAAAGTAAAAAGAGTTTTATCGAAAAATATCATTGTATTTTCTAGAATTTTGCTTAATATTAAACTGTGTTTGTGCGGTGCTTAATAACAGTTTGAATGTCACGCAACGCACTGGCACGTCCGACGACAATACATAGATTCTGCCTTGGTTTTTTTTTTTTTTTTTGCTAATATGGTCGCAAACTTCAAAAAAAGTATTCAAAACATCGGCTTAGTTTTATCAAAGTATGGACTAGTTTATTTATCACGAGTGCGTGACAAGGAAAAGGGAAAACAATGTGAATGACAGGTGGCGCCAAACGTCCCGAATATTCCCCGAGTTACTATAAGTGTGAAATAAAGATCACCAACAAGTATGGCTTGCTTTATGTCCTTCAAAGACAAAGGTGGATGTGGAGAATTTATGGGTCAATTTGAGCTGGAATATCTAAGCAGTTGCCAGCGGGATGTTTCAGCTCACTTAAGAAGGTTTCACTTGTCCAAGGAACATCTCACGGAATGCGAATTGATTTTGTTGCGAGCGGGATTTCTAAATATAACAACACAGCAAGTAGAGAAAATGTTAGTGTGCCCGAGACATCGTAGCAATCTTGGTCTCTACTGGAGAGAAAGAACAGTATGCCAGCAATGAGGTCTTTGGCGCCATTATTCCTTTAGGGTCACGTGAGTACTTTCCTCTTTTATTTTAAATTTATTTTTGGTTTATCGAGTTCAGTTTTTTAAGGTCCGTGCACCTGCAGTTTAGCTAAGACTGACTTTTGAGAGTAGAGTTGCATGTGATAATGAATAAAAAAATTAAGGCTATTTTGAAATGCTATTCTCTAGCAATTTGCAACAGCTGTAGAAAATCCCATAACGAAAAGCTGAAGCAAGAGTGGAAATGGCTACTCGAGGACCAAGCTACAGAAGATAACCAAGACAAACCGGCAGCTCTTCTTTTACCAAGGTATGCTCGTTAACTGTAACTCACCAGCATGTTCCATCCTGCAGATAAACCTTTGATTTTTTTTGGTCCAAGACTGAACGTATAAAACTTAACGACTAGGCGCGCAGCCTGAATGGTCTACGAGTCGATAGCCCATTAGGCAGAAGGCTATTGATTTGTAAACCATAAGGGCTGCGGGTCTAATCGTTTTAGTGTAAACCTACTAATCGGTCAAATAAATGGATATACAAAAAAGGTCGAAATAGCGGGTTATTCGCAATGATCAAAACCGGCAGTTTTTCACTCAACTAGTGGAAGTTTTGATTCTCGTCTATTCGTACTTCACGTTTAATATTAAACGTTTGTCTCTGTGTTGGATTTTCAGGAAAAGCAAGCAAAGCGCAATGCAAGCAATGGCAGAATTTCCTCCAGGCACTCCTGTAGTATCAAGTCAGTTAGCGGACCCTAAGTGGACACCTGGACATTGGCGCGCACAGGAATATGAAGACATACAACTCAGATGAAGAGCCTGACCAGCAAAATACACTTCAAGTATACAATGACGCAATGGCTCATATCGCTGCTTTATCTGATCTGAAGGCCATTGAACCACTTACATTCAGGCTTAAATCCAAATGGGAAGTGGCTACAAAAGTCGAGTTACTCACTTCTGCGTATAAGCATGCGCCAACGAAAAATCTCAAAACGCAGATTTTGAGCATTTACGCATCCGAATATTCATCTTATGACCTGAAGAACATTCACTCTTCATTCGAGAAACTGAGTGATCGTCAGATTAAGAAGGCCAGAGCACATGCAAAAGCCGTTGGTGTTTGCATGGTAGTTGAGAAAAAGACCTTCCACAGAGTACGAATCAATGTAACGAAGCTCAGCCACTTTCTGTCATATATAGACCAGCCCTATTTCTATTAGGATGTGGCGTATGGCATAAGAAAGCTTAAACTAGAATCTGGTGAGTAGCTGGTGATGCCGAATGTCGTGCGAAGAGTAGGCAGATCAACTATGATTGAGCTTTATCTCAAACAGTGCAGAGAGGAAGAATTTCAACCTCTGGGAACCTCCACTCTGTACAGAATATTATAGTAGTAATAAATTATGCGTTCGGTGTGTATATAATGAAGTAGAGAGAGTAAGAGA